TTATGCAAATGCGAACGAGCTGGAGAAGCAATGTAGAAGGATAAATGAGAATGGGAGAAGATAATGATGATGAGGCGAATGGGGAAAAAGAGGGAGAGAAAGAGAGAGAGAGAGAGAGAGAGAGAGGGAGAAGAGAGAGAGACGGAGGGAGGAAGAGAGAAAGAGAGAAACAGACATAGAGAGAAAGAGAGAGAGAGAGAGAGTGAGAGAGAGAGAGAGAGAGAGAGAGAGAGAGAGAGAGAGAGAGAGAGAGAGAGAGAGAGAGAGATTGAGAAGAGAGGGAGGGAGGAAGGAAGGAAGAGAGAGAGAGAGAGAGAGAGAGAGAGAGAGAGAGAGAGAGAGAGAGAGAGAGAGAGAGAGAGAGAGAGAGAGAGAGAGAGAGAGAGAGAGAGAGAGGAGATGAGAGAGAGTAGAGGGAGGGAGGGAAGGAGGGTGGGAAAGAGACAGACAGACAGACAGAGAGAGATAAATCATAGAGAGAGAAAATCTTAAGAAGTGGAAGAAGGAGAAGGAAAAGAAGTTAATACTAATAATAGACTAAGATTATCCGGTAAATGGTGACAGGAGACAGACGAAGAGAAAAAAAATGTAAACGTATTAAGGGAAGAAGAATGAGGAAATAATAAAGGACGAAAAAAAGAAGGAAGATAGAAGAAGAAAATAAAAGAAGAAAGGAGTAGGAACAAGAAATGATAAAAGGGAATAAGTAAAGGAATGGTAATGTATAGAAGGGGAATGAGGAAAGAAGGGATAGGGGGGGTAGGGGGAGGGAGAGGAGGGGGGGGGGAGGTTGCCTCATCACGATTAATTCCACTTAAAAGGTTTCGGTCTCCTCTGCCTTCCCCATCCTCGCCTTCTCTCTTCCTTCCCTTTCTATTCTCTCGTATCTTCCGCTTCCTTATTCTGTATTCTTCCTCTTCCTCTCATCATCCTTTCTCTTTTCGTATTTTTTCTTTCTTCCCTTCACATGGTCTTCTCTCTCTTCCTCCTCTTCTTCTCCTCTTTTCCTTCTCTTCTCTCTCTTCCTCCTCCCCTTTACCTCTTTTCTT